TGGCAAAGCCTGGTGTTAGAACGGTACTCCCTCATTGTCCCTACAACTTTAGCAACACGCAACCAGCTGTGTCTTTGTCTAGAACCTATAGGACATATGATGCTCAAACTTTGTGGAGGGAAAGAAACAGAACATTTCTTTTACTAATTCTTTACTAGTATTATTATTATTATTATTATGTCCATGGCAAATGCCATTCTACCAACCAAGAGACTGGAGCTTGTCAAACCACCGTTACACATTTGAACAGACTCCAGTGAAACAAACATTTTCTACTTTAAGTAGTCCAGCTTTATGTAGATGCTTCTTCACTCAACCCTCCCTCTGTCTGTCTTATTCTCTCATTCAATAAACAAGCCTCTCTATCTACCTCCATAACACTCCTCTTCTCTTCCTCCAGTTCCCCCATTATGGGAGACTATATTGCGAGGCCCGTTGAGAGAGAAACCAATCGTGTGGTGTGTCAGTGGGCCGATAGAGAAGGACCCAGTAATGGAAGGCCTTTTAAGGCTAAAAAGGAAAAGCTAATTATGATAAAGGGGCTGTAAGTTGTGTGGTTATCGCAGTGCTGGGCCCGCTGGTGCAGCAGACTGGTCCCTGACAGTGATAACCAGGCAGAGAGAGATGCCTGGCGCTCTGTCACTGTCACTCTGGCGCTCTGCTCAGCTAAAGATGGATTCACACGCTACAACTTTTATGCATTTTTTTTTTCAAACACATAAAGCACTTTGCATCCACTGGTCCTGAAACCTGAAACAGCAGGCTCCTGGTGATTTCTGTTGGATTTTTGTCCTCAGCACCACGTGTACGCAGCAAGCATGCCATCTCTAAAACACTGCCAGACCTTTAACAGCACAAATGAATCCTCCTCAAATCAGTCATACATTTGACTGAACGCTTTTATGACTACATTTATTCAAAGCATCACTTGTCTGGTTAGCCTGTGCCTCAGCTTTGAGTCAGCTCAAACAACAGCAGAATGACGATGCTATGCCAGATACAGAGGCACCCAGATAGACATATCAGCTGTCAAGCCATGGGGCACATTAGTGGTAGTGAAGTGAATGAATGGGTATAGCCTCCAACTTGCTCCCCAGTTTCTTCTGTCTCTGATGCTTTATGCATTCTGCCTGTGTCTTGCTATCTCACCTCTCCCGAATGTCTTGACTATTATAATATTTCCTCCATGCCCTCACTCTGTTTCTATTATGATACTCCGCCCTGGGAGCCCATGGGAACGCATGAATGAACAGAGACATTTAAAGAAGACAACAGGAAGAGGACACTTTTTATTGCCATGCAAATTGTCACAGAACATCAAGACTGTGGTATTTCAATGAGTCTGACATAAACAGTATTTCATAGAGTATCCAATAAACTTGCAATGGCATTCGGTCATTTAAACTTCAAGCATTATGCATTTGACTTCTCTTAGGTATAAAGTAAAGACAGGACTTATTTATTATTTTTTTAATTAATTCAAACTTGATATTACTGAAATAAGAATTGGGGTATATTTCAAGATACTGAATGTCTCACAGCAGCTCAGTAATAGTCTTATGTGGAAGTAGGCTGCCTTGTCAATATCCAGTTTACCTCAGGTTAAAGGCAGCTACATTCTATTCAAAGATCATTGCAGAGTGCTGGCAAACCTCTACTGCAGTTCTTTCAGAGGCCACAAGATGGTGCCGATGAAAACTACACCCCACTGGGACTGTTACAGAATTCCCATGCAAACCCCTTTTTGAGGATTATTTAGACTAGAGAGCACCAGCTAGTTACCCTTTATCTCATCCATTTATTAGATTTTTTTTCCTTACTGAATGTTTTAGTGTTGTTGTATATATGTATGTTCTTTTTTTTATCTGTATTGAAATTTTGAAATGCATACAGTGTGGGTTTCTGATGTACTATTGGTATTATTTGAGAGATGGATTTACAGATCAACATGTATGCAGCTGGCTACAGATGCACACATGGGCAGACTTCAATGACACCCACCTGTGAAGTCTGATTCTCCTCTATCTGATCCATTTCAGTAGGATCCAATTAAATCAACTGCTGTAAGTTTTTTTTAAGTGAGTAGATGGCAGCCTGAAGTGGCAGCCTTTCCAGTAGCTCTGTAGTGTGTTTTTTGCTCTTTTACAGTGTTTTTCACCTGTAACCCTTCTCATTACACACAATGCGTAGTGCTTACTTGTTCTATCCTATGGATATGGAATTTTTCCATCTCCAAGACGGCTGTGGACTCGTTTATTTGCAATATCAGCTGACAATGGCCTGTACTAGTGAGCTTCCTGACATACCCCAGGAGGCGAGGTGCCTGTACAGAGGCTGCAGAGCCAGTGTTCAAGATTAAAGAGTTACCCTCTTAACTGGTGACTTTCAGGGGAATGCGTCAGTGGTTGCTCATGGATATGCCAGCTGTTGAAAACAGGTTGAGAACTGGCTACGGTCACTTGTTAACACTGGCACTAAGCTAAAGGCAAGGAGCTTGGCAAAGCGATGGAGGTACAAACCATCAGTAGTTATGGGTAACGTTAACTCGTTGGCCAACGAGACAGACGAACTAGCTGCACTAGTGAAGAATGTGAGTATCTACAGGGAATGTAGTTTGCTTTGTTTCACTGAAACATGGCTAACTGCTAGCACCCCAGATGCTAACGTGGCTCTACCCAGCTTCACTACAGTCAGAGAGACACCAAGGCAAGTGGGAAATGCATAGGTGGGAGACTTGCACTCCAGCACCGAGTGGTGTAACTGCCCCAGCATGTAACTGTTACTATTTGCTGTCGGGACACTGAACTTTTAGCTGCAAGTCTCTGACCTTTCTACATGCACAGAGAGTTTTCGCACTCCATTGTCATCTGTGTTTATACACCCCAGTAGACAAATGCGGGTGCATTGTGTGATGTCATTTATTCGACTACTGCGAGACTCCGATGACCTTATGTTGATCTCCAGAGACTTCAACCATGTCTCATTGGACTCTACACTGTCTGCATTTTTCCAGTCTGTGGACTGTCCAACCAGAGGAACTAGGACTATTAACCACCTGTATGCTCCTGTGAAGGATGCATACAGTGTCACTCCTCTGCCACCACTGGGGAAATCAGACCACAATCTGGTTCTGCTCCAGCCTCAATACAAAACACAGGTAGTACAGCAACCCACCTCCACATGATCCTTTAGGGAGACCTGAGGCTGAAGAAGCTCTGAGGGACTGCTTTCAGTCTACTGACTGGAGACTGCTGCAGGAGTTATGCGGTGAGGACATTGAGGAGATCACTTACTTCATCACCGACTACATCAACTTCTGTATAGACATTGTCGTTCCCACCAGAACGGTGCTCTGCTTTGCTAAAAACAAACCCTGGATTACCTGAACATCAAGGGCCTCCTTATCAAGAAGAAGATGGCATTTAAGGATGGAGATCAGGATGAGGTAAAGCACCGTCCGCTCTCTCTCACCTTGACAGGGGGAATGGTGCTCTGAGGATCATGTTTTTTGACTCCTCCAGCATCTTCAACATTATCCAGCCCTTGGTACTGAGAGACAAACTGACAGGGAGTGAACTCACACCTCGTGTCCTGCATTACAGACTATCTTACAGGGAAACCTCACTGTGCGTCAGACTGAGGGACTGCACCTCAGAGACAGTGGCCAGCAGCACAAGAGCACCACAGGAGACAGCGCTCTCCCCTGTCCTATTCATCCTGTACACCACAGACTTCAAATACAACTCGGAATCATGCCAATCATGTTTTCTGACGGCACTGCAATCGGGGGCTGTATCAGGGATGGACAGGAGGATGAGTAGTGGAGAAGAGGACCCTCAATAAGCTGCTGTCCATCCTGGACCATGTCCATCACCAGAGGAGTTGATTCAGCAGTAGGCTGCTGTTTCTCTCCTGCTCCACAGACAGACTGAAGTCGTTTGGCCCTCGGACCATACGACACTTCAGCTCCGCCCAGTGAGGAGGTCTGGTCTGACTTTTGGACATGTGATGTCACTACTCACCTCCATAATAATGTGATCCCACTTCACTAGGACACTATACTACTGCACTGTGCGCTGTTCATCCTCATCTTTTATCTTTACACACAGTGTTCAGTCCTGCACATATTGGCATTGTACACAGGTACCCCGTGCACATTTACTTATTATGATGTGTACCCTATGTTCACTGTATACCTGGCACACACACACATATATTACCTATATTCTTATTTTTACACTTATTTCTTGTCATTTTTAAAATATTGTCTTTGTATTTTAGTCTTACACTTTTATACATTTCTTTACTTTGCTGTGATTTTGGTAACCACTGCTGTTGCTACTGGATACATGAATTTCCCTCGGGATCAATAAAGTATCTATCTAAAATCACAACATACTGTCTCTTCCAGAAAACACTTCATAATTAAATGATATAGAGAACAAAGTAGTCTTCCCAAATGTAAATGAAGTTAAAGTTAACATTTCACATAGTCTACTGTGAGTTTTGGCTGAGAGCTCAATTCAGAGATATTCATTTAGTATAACACGAGCTGAGGTATGAGAAACAAACACTGTGTTAGCCCAGGCACCAACAGTGTGTAGTCACTTCATTGTCCCACCTCTGATCTGTAGTAGAATGCTGCCATCTTGTGACAGTGGCCATATTACAGCTGGCCTCTACATGTAAACACTCCTACAACTAATGTCATGCAGTGCTGAAGTGTTTATGTGTCCATTAGCCATGAGCGAATTCCCTCCATGATGGACTGCTAGATGTCTGTTATAAGGATTGTGAGTTCGCCCTGTGTTAGACAGTCAATAGTTGTAGAGATGATTTGCAAAATACATTACACATGTTTCCATTTTCCAAACAAATATGAGTGGGAACCTTGTCCTCTGTTTATCGTGTGTCAGTGAGGTATATGCCCATGTACATGACTTGATGTACTATGAATCAGCACAGCCAAGAGTTAGCCTGTAGTAGAGCATGTAACTCACCACTTTGCGGGCCCTGGTCTTATAGTCAATGTGCAGCTCTGTGTGTTTCCGCAGAACTGCTTCTAAAGATCTCTTCAGATCCAGCGCTCTCCTCAACAGCTGCTGCTCAGCACCTGCCCTGGTGAAGACCTAAACACAAACACACACAAATCAGACACATCCAAGGCTTCCCTCAACAGCCAATGAGAAATCAGACAGAAAGAGTTTGTACATTGCAGATGAGCTGTATCCAGGTATTGTTTTGCAGACGGAGTGGTATAGCATTAATGTTATTAGTAACTCACAGCTTGTCCTCTTGCTGTTGTAGACACAGTCTATCCACATGCCTTAGTGTGGTCATTTATTACATGTCAACCAATGTGTATAGCTTGTCGGTACTAACCTGAACCCAGCCCTGCACAGCTGGAAGGTGTTTGGTTGTTATCAGTCTGTGGAGGTCTATGACTGTGGAGACCACTGCCTCATTATCCTCCGTCTCCTTTATATGTAGACCTGAGAGGAAAAAAAGGGATGAAAACAAAGGAACATTTTAATGATAAAACCATTTAAAAGAAATGTACTGTATATTAATCCTAGTAAATCAATCAATATAATATAACGTACACACACAGCAGCAATTTTTTTAGCTGTACTTACACAATAAAACATTTTTCTCTCTCAATAGGTTGAATTTGTCAAATTATAGTTTCAACAAGCTATGCTTAATGCTAGGTGTGTTTACAGTAAGCTATTTGAGCACCCACTCATAAGACAATCTTCCTATTCTTCTTTTCACATCGGTACTGTATTGGGTTGAGATCTGGAACCGGGTAAAACCAGGATAAATCCAGAATAAAGTGAGGTCAAGGTCCTGCTCTTACAACAGATTTATGCCACATCATACATGTAGTGGCAGAACAACATTCAAACGCATGCTGTTCACCCTTCTGCTTGAATCTACTCTTTACAGGTTAACACATGGCAGGCGATGTGTTTGTCTCTCACTGGTCCTCGTTGAAGCAAGTAAGGCGCCTTGCGGCAAACTGGTGATTAGAGGCTATACAAATTAAATTTGTACTTGACAACTGCTTTGAAATATGTCTCTAATACTTCCTCCAAAACACTGGCAACAAAAACTGGACATTACAAGCTTCACAAACACGGGGATTGTTGCAGCACATGATAATGTATGGGTATTTCAGTGAACTTTACACTGGTTGTACCCACCAGGACTGAGGTTCAGGTCCAGACTGTAGGAGTGAGAGATGAGCCCCGAGTTCCGAATAAACACATTTTCACCAAAAGGCCCGTCCTCCTCTTCTTCTCTACTGCTCTCCCTCTCTTCCTCATTTTCTTCCTCCTCTCCCTCCCCTTTCTCAATCTCTTCCCCATCTTCTACCTTCATTTCCTTCTTCTCCCGCTCCTTCTCCTTATCTTCAGGCCTTTTCTCCTTCTTTCCCTTTCCTTTATCTTCCCCACTGCTCTCTTTTTCTTCAGTCTTTCCTTTGTCTTTTTCTCCTTTCCTTTCATTTCCATTACTTGTCTTTTCTTCCCCAAGCTCCTCCTTGTCTTGTTTCTTCCTTTTTATCCTATCATCCTCTCCATCTTTGCTGCAGCAGGGCTGTTCGCCATCTGATGGACATTCACTGGTTGGTCGGGAGTTTGAGGGGCTGCTATTGAATGTCTGGGTGTCTATGAGTCCACAGTCAGGGAGAAGTAGTCTCATACAGGATTCCATCTCTGTCAGCGTTGCCTCAATTTCCTGATAGAGCTCTGACAAAAAAATAACACTGTTAAGAAACACTAATAGAATGAAGGGATCAGATATAACTACAATACCTTTTGTGTGACTTTTTTTTAGTGTAGCTTCTGTACAAACCATTCTGTCTTAGCTAATACACATTTTAATTGATATAACATTACAAATATCAATATCATTACAAATATTATTGGCCTCAAGGGGGAAATTTGGTTCCCTTAAAAACATCAGTCAAGAAAGAAAAATAAAAACTGTAGCAATGTTCAATCACGCAGCAAGGTTCAGCTCAGACAAGATGACAGATGCAGTGAACACAGAGGAAGACAAGCCTCCAGAGAGTCTCTAACAGCTGGCGGTAACCTCAGGTCTGTGAAAAGAGGAAGACCTGGACCCACCAGCATGGCCTCAGCCTTCCAAAGAACGGGTTTGTTACAGATGTTAAAGACAATGTGGTGCTTACCCTCCATGTCTTTGGTAGCCGCCTCCACTCTCTCCTTATAGATCCTCTCCATTCTCCCCTGTCTCTCCTCCTCTCTCCTCCTCTCTGCTACTGTCCTGGCCTCCACATCCAGGAAGTCCACCTGACAGCAAGGACACCTGACATCACTCACATGTGGATTACAGCATGTAGCATGTGAATTAACATGGGAAACAAAGGAAGAATCTGAATTGATCACATGTTCACATTTGAGGGCACAAGTATAAGTAGAAATGTTATAATAACACTCCGCTCATATAAACATACAGTCACAGCCAAAAATATTACCACTGCTGCATTTCTATCAGATAACACACCACGTCTCCCAGAGAACTGTCATAATCACAAATTCTTTGGTGTTCTTATGTTTATTTCTTTAGTTTGCTTTGAAACAACACAATAAAGGTGAAGGAAAAAGCCAAATCTGATACGTTCTATATACAGAACTCCAAAAATGGACTGGACAGAATTATTGACACATTACTATGTGGTAGCACAACCCTTTGGACAAAATAACTGAAATCAGTCCCTTCCTGTAACCTTCACTGAGTTTCTTCCACCTTTCTACTGGAATGTTGGACCACTTTTCTTTTGCCAACTCTCAGATTTGAAGGGTTCCTTCTCCCAGCTGCTGTTGTGAGATCATCATGTAGGTCAGCATGAATTGGTTTGGAAGTTGATCAAAGTTCTTTAGCAGTCACATACAAGGATATTAGCAGAACAGGGTGGTCAAATGAAAGTGCATTTGGATACAATGACAAATCTTGGGCATTAGATTGTTACCAAAACAGTTATAATTTTTGGTACAACAAGATCAAAACTGCCATTTCAGGTCCTCAGTCAGCCAGAGTAGGAGTGTACCTGGATCACAGAACAGGTATTCTGTCCTTCTACAGCATCTCTGAAACCATGACTCTCCTCCACAGAGTCCAGACCACATTCACTCAGGCTCTCTATCCTGGAATTCGGTTTTATGGTCATGGAGACACAGATGAGTTCAGTAAACTCAAATAGACAGAAGTGACTTCAAATGCAGTTTGTTAAAAACTTTATTTTAAAGCTGAAACGTCTTAGTTTTCCATGTTTGTTGCTTGGAGCCTAAACTGACATTTTGTCCACATGAAAATGTTCTCTGTGCTCTAAATGTTGGAGGAATATTTGCATTTACATGTTTGTGTGTTGTTGCATCACCTCCAGAGAAATTACCAGACTTTCCTTTATCACTGATATTTTGTTCTCACCAGTTTGTCCATGTGTAATGACACTGACGTGTTTGTGTGGCAGACCAAATGTTGTTGTATGTACCAATGAGGGGTGTGGTATACGAGGGTTTGAGCTGTTATAACACCGTGATAATCGTGACCCTAATCAATAAGGAAATCCGTGGTTATTGACTTTTATATAGCTGAGATTTGGGTTGAAATGTAAATCTACTGATGGTGTGGCTAAAGTAACTAAACAGGAGTCATGTAACAGACTTTACTGATGTAACATGTGAACAAACTGAAGGTTTCATAATAAATACAGTCTTTAACCTAAAAAAAACAAAACAAAACAATATACCGCTGCAATCACAATGCAGGCTATTAAAATCTTTTCCATATTGCATAAGTGGCACTTGGGTTCACTTGTGTGGTGACCACAGCCTGGAAAAGGTTCCCATACAGCCTAGTTAATGGGTTCAGAGCTTCAAAAATAGTTTGGTGTCTGCATTGTTTACTGCCTGTTTATACTGTTTATTTTGCATTGTTTGCCCTGTTTGTTGCTTGTTAATACTGTTTATTTTGTTATATTACACAGCCTTATGCTGGTTTACTGTTTACTTGCCCGTTGCATGGGGATATGTACATGCACATTGAGAGCCGATGTACCAGAGTCAAATTTCTCGTTTGTCCGACACACCTGGCCAATAAAGCAGATTCTGATTCTGCTGTTCATCCACAACTGAACTAAGAACTAAAAAGAGATTCCACTGATTTTACACATGGATCCCTTGTCATAGACAGTACTACTCAGTTGTGTCATGATGTCATCTGCTTTATCTTAAAGATTAAAATATATAATACTTCAAATAATTGACCAAAACCCTGTCTGACAAACTGGGGGCCCTGACTTTGAATGAGGGCATTTAACATGCAGGAAGGGTCTAATATAAGACTCTAAATTTCAGGCACTTGCTTAGATTCTTTCCCATCACACAGTACGAACAATATCAGGGAGGCATCTGATTGGTCCTAAATTCATTCTGCAGCACCTTCTTTAAATGAACCACTACCTTCTTTGCATAGTACTGTACATGTTATGTTTTGCTAGAAAGTATGTTTGCCATGCTCAATGATTAAACTTCCACAATGCAGTCATTTTACACATTGTGCATCTCTAACTATACCACAGGGCATTTTCTCAGCACTTTGCAACACAACATGTCTCTTACCTTCTTCACTTGTTTGAGAAAGTGGTAGCCCAGTGCCAATTTCTTATAAGCTGTCCCATAAGAGGCCTGCCATGACTGGACAGTCTGTATGGCCAGTTTCCTCAGTTTCCTGGCTACTTCTTTAGGAGGAGGGAGGGGCTGCTCAGAGTCTGTCTCTACTGTCAGCTCCAAGAACTCCTACATAAGAAGGAAGAGGAGGAAAAAGAGAAGGTGGGGTGTGAGATGAAGACACAAGAAGATACCAATTTCTCTGCAAAACCTCAGTGTCAGCACAATTCTTGTACAGACAGATTCACATTTAGACTTTCAGTTCTCCATAATTTACAGTCCTATAGTTGTTGAAACAAAGTGGCAAGAGTTCTAATGAACTACCTGGAAGTTGTCCACCAGCAGCGTCCTGAAGTGGTGTGATCTGGAGAAGAGCTCACTGGCTATCTGGAAGGCTGACAGCCGCACCTCACAATGTTCTTGGTTGAGCTGGGCCATCACTGAGTGGTACACATGGTCGATGCAGTCACTAGACACTCTGAGAGGAATGAAGCACATATAGTGAGCAGCGATTAAGCCCATGATTGCTTTTTGTATCATGACTGTGATGTATCAAGGAAAATGAAAAATTGAACAAGAACATCACCGATATCCTTGTGGGTATATAGAAGCTGTGATGCATTGAAGGGAAGCACTGAAGCAATGTGACGCACTAATCATGACTAAATCTAATTAGCGTAATGCTTTTTCATTGAATTTCACATGGCAATGCATGAATGTTTATATATTAATGTAAGCAGCATTCTTATAATTCTGAGAGTTCAGGTGGCCCATGATGGTTTCAAAATATTTTCCAACCCAAGGTTCGTTGCATAAAAGTTTTCACAGATAAGTTCAAGTACTCAACTGAAACATGGCTAACCGCGGAGTTTCCCTGGGAACTATATAAATCACCAAGACTTGGCAACTGGTAGCACTGCTTTGCACCAGAGCTGAAGTTGCTGTCAGTACCCCATACTACACAGAAGCATGTTCCTGTGTAGACATGTGACATACTTGCAGATCTTCTTGATTTCCTTCATCTTGTCCTGGTTGAGAAGCAACTGTCCTGATGTGGTCAGCTCCTCCACCAGCTCTGACAGACGCTCCCTCTGAGACAGCTCCATCTGTGACCAGAGATACGCTATCAATTAAAAGGACTTTACGTGAAGATTTTCAGTAAAACCACTAAAAACGGATTTGGCAAAATGGACTGCAAAATAATATATTAGGATGGCTGTTCTCCAGGGGTTTTGTTATGTTTACACAAATATGTGAATATTATATTGCTATAGAATTTGTCATCCCATGGCAAAGTCAGACAATTTTAACTTAATGTTAACCGCTCAAAAGCCCACTGAGGATTTTAAGAACTGTTTTGGATCATGGTCCTATTGTAGAAGCCACCTGCCTGTCTTTTCACCTGCAGACTGACTACGGGACATCCTCAACCAGAAATGAATAATTTAATGTTATTTAGATATTTCGTGGGATTAACGTTATTCTTCTCCCTTCCCATGCAGTGTTTCCTGGTCCACTTGCTGCCACCGAGCCCCAAAGCAGAATACTCTACCCAGACAGTGTTTTTCCTTGGCAGGGTGTCCAAACCTTAGTTAACGGTACTGTTTTTCATTAAGTAGCTATCACTAGCTAGTTACTTACTAACGCTACGTCTTCACAATTTACATATTTAATGTACACAATTTAACAAATTCTGCGGAATTAAAAGAAAACACTAAGGAGAGACTATACAAGACCTATCCAAACGGGTCTTAAATGAATGTAAAGCTAAGTTACTGAAGTCCAAGTTGCGTCAGCTTAGTAAATACTCGGCTAGCACTTCAGATGCAGACGCAGCCTCCACTTACCAGAAAGTAGCTTGTTATAAAAAACTAAACCTCAGGAAATGTTGTCCGCTAGTTGTTGACTCCAAGTCAGCTTTGTGAGTCGTTGTCCATTCATGACAAAAAGCATTGTCTGTATATAAAAGAAGTCAGTATATTAACGATAGCTAGCTGTTTTGTTTACATATTTATATCTTTTACGGTTAGCTATGCAGCTTCAAATGTTTTGGAGTCACCGGTGACTAATTTCACTGGTGACCGTCCAGTGAATGCGTTGCTGGTAGTTCGTACAGCTCAAACACCACTCACAGAGTAGATACAATTATATGTTTTGGCCATCAAATGACAAATTCACGGAGCGGAATTCTCGAAAACAGCTGCGGTAACCGGTTAAACATCCCCATTACATGCCATTTATTTCCGTATGCCACTTGTACTACCGGTTCGACTTTCCACAATAAAAGCACCATGTTGACCTGCTATGTTATATTTCTATTGTTAGGTAATTTCTTAGTCAGATAGATATTGGTTAGAGATTTGTTGTCTAGAAATGTTTAGTGGAGACAGGATGTTTAGCTCAGGCTGTTAAATGCTTAGTCATTCTTATGAGCTTTCTGCAGGCTGCATAGAGGCCAAGGACAACTAGATAGAGACAGTTTGCAGACAGGAGGTTATTGCTATTATTATGATATGTGTAACTGTAATGGTAATCATAATATTTTCTTATGTGTAATGTCATGTCAAAATGTTTTAGATACACACCACTAATCAACAGCCACACACCTTGACTTTCTTCATGTTTTGACTATTGTTATGGTCAGCTGCAAAGCTGGCATATCAGGTGACGTCACGGTTTGACGTTCCTGTGTAGCATGGGCTAGCCCAACCAAGTGATTAAATTGTATAGACATTTTTGGTTCAGGGTCTTTGATCCTCCAGGCTGCCTGCGCGCAGGTTTGGGGGTAGAAGAGATCTGGACGTGTAATGTTAATTTTACCTGTGATCCTTTGAATAAACCAGCACGGTTATTTTTTTTTATATAATCCAAGTGGTCTACTTCGTCTTTGTGAGTTCCTGGTTTAAAAGAGCCGGAAGAGGCTAATAACAAAATTAGCTTAGCTGTTTGGTGCAATAAATAATACTTTATTTATAAATGCATTAACACAAAACCAAAATTTTAACATTTTAATTTATTGAAATTATCAACACTAAGTAGAAACATTTTACAGGTCCCTGATAGACTGGTGGTTTGGGCGCCATGAAGGGCATTCAGCGTAAAACACGTGCCAAATGTCAACATGCTGTGGCGACCTCTAACTGGAAGGGACGAAAGTGACATTCAAGTAAAAATATTTAACAACACACAGTTGCATTCTAAGCAGTGAGCTGGATCCCAGGCTCTGGTACTGTGCTCGCTCACTGACATGTCTAGTTGAGACACTTCATGGAACCAAGCCATGCACTATTCAACTCAACATTTGTCTCCCTCGTCCTTGAAAGTCTGGAGGAGTTTCTTTCTGCGTCGGTCATGCAGTTGAAGAGTGGTTGTCTCCACATTCTGTATACTCCTCTCTGCACTGTTTAAAATGACACCCCTGTACAAGACTGTGGTCATTTTATTTTGACTTGTAATGCATCTATAAGTTGTACAATCTCTTCATAGTAGCCATTCTCCTCTCCTAGAATCATTTCTGACTGGACCATATCCTGGTACTGGTCTCTGAGAGAGAGCAGGGAGCCCAGTAGTGAGCCGTCTGAGCGGTACTCATCCAAACACACAGGAGCCATTGCCAACAAAGCCCGAAGAGCCTGAAAGAAAAATGACACCAGCACATACGTCACATTTATTTTATACACTATGTTCATCTGTTTTACCAGTCTGGGGTTCTGAGAAGTTAATCCTGGTTATTTTGCATTAATACTATTTTTAATTTGTGTTAATTATCAACATGTATTTTGCTTCTTATCTACAACAACGTATTAAATGCAGGCCACCTTCTCTCTGTAGTCATGCTCAGTGGACTCCAGCAGCTGTGGGACCAGATTGCACCAGCCCTTCTCCAGCAGCTCCCCCTGCAGGGGCACCTTAGAGTACTGGCGGACACGCTCCTCATGGGAAGCGTCGAGGACCTCGTCCAGACCGGCCTGAGAGATCAGCTCCTGGTGGAACAGAGGAGACCAGTCTCAGCATCATCTGACATATCTACTTCAGCATTCTCTTTAAGGATTGGTAGAACCTTACATTTCAAGCATCAAAGCGAAACTCGTATTAAGGATTGGTAGAACCTTACATTTCAATCAGCAAAGCGAAACTCATACTTCATTATTAGACCTGGATTAACTTCAAATACTGTTTGGCTGTTTCACCTTCTCACTGATCATGTCATATAACATGGTGACAATGCGTGTCCGCAGAATGCCACCTCCATCTGCCCTGAAGAGCTCTGATAGGATCTGTAATCCACCATGTGACAGGAAGTGGTGCTGTGCATAGGGGAAGTGACGTAAGAGGGAGGCCACTGCAAACAGAACCTGATGGAAAGTCCCACAGAAAACATTACAGCTGAGCTGAATGTTTATACACATCTTCTAGACATTCAGGAGTAATGAGAGTAGGTATAAGTACCTTCTTTTTGACTTGGAGTGGCTGTGCGGTGGCCAGTACGGTTAACAGCATCTGCAGAGCACCACTCTCCACAGCTTTCACCTGAACCACTGGGTTACTACAGGACACAAACACAGCTGTTAGGGCAGGGACACACCAAGCCTACGTGAAAGAACTAGCAGCAACGTAGGCCGACCGTTGAGTCGCCTCATGTCAGCTTTGTCTGGGCCAGTCAAGTTGTAAAAGTGGCATGTGAACACACCAGACTACAGCCAATGGCCGACTAGCACATAAATTCTGCGTCTGCATGACAAATACCTGTATTCACCATTCAGAAAGGGAAACAAGAGCAGCTAGAATATGGAAGTATAAGCTATAAACAAAACCTCTCTCGTTCAACACAGCTGCTGCTAATCGAGAATATGTCTGATAAGAAGTTGCAAATGAGTGCCATTCTCTGTCTTTGGTCTTTTGGTTGTGGAAGAAGAAAGGAGGCTGTGAAGGTGAAAAACAATGAGAGACAGCACTAAATGGGTGAAATCATGGATAGTACCGTGACAGGCTGAAGGGGCTTTCCAAAACATTGATTTGCTAAAGCTCAACAGCCAATCAGAGTGGTCTCTCTCACCAATGAGACCTGACGCCGATTCAGCATGTTGTTCAACATGTTGAATCGGCCAAAAAGCTGCAGACAGGGTCCCTTTATTGCCAGTGGTGCAGTGACACACTGAGAAGACGAGCCCTTACAGATGCTCATAGACAGTGGCAGACAGCCAACTGTCAGCGTGATACCATCCCTTTTTAGGTTTTACTTACCAAGTAAAACCACACAAGCACATCACACATCACTTCCTGTGCTGACTTACAAGACCTGGGGTGAAGTGGTTGCATACTGGTACATAAGAATAATTATTCAACATCAAACACAGGGGCATAATGTATTTTGATGTTGCACAGTTGTAGTTGAGAGATGCCGTTTATGGTAATGATGTTACGTTCTTCAAAGATGATGAACATACCTGGCCAGGGCAGACCCCAGGACAAAGGCAGAGTTTTCCTGTAATCTGAAGTCAGAGCTGTTCAGACCTTCTAGAATGAACTGGAGACCCCCCATTGAGCACAGAGTCTGAGCGTTATCCACCTAACACACAGAGTTAGAAGCTAACATCTCCAGAGTAGATGTGCAGGTTTTCATGTGTAGGAATGGATGTGCACCCTGTTACCTGGTGCACCAGATACTCCAGCTCCTGCAGGATGCTCAGTCTCTGCTCAGTAGTTGAGTTGCTGCTGTTGAACTGGTCCAGAAGGCGCCTCATGATCTACACACCACCACAGCACAGATTATTCACTTTAACTGATTATTTTTATGGATATTGTGATTCTAACATTTCTAACAAGTCTCTAATGCCTGGTTTAGACTACAGGATTTAAGCCAGATATGACAATCGACCATTTTATCTCGTATAGTGTGTCATAGTATATGACAAACGATGCTCACGACGTGCTGACACAAAGTCTAGCATGCCAGAATTTTTTCCGCCGTCTATGATGAGGTGGGCTGATGTTGACCGACAGCAGCGCAGATGGATCTAAAGCTCACAACAATTTTGGCATATTGGATGAACCATGTTCATTAAATATCACAGTGATACAGCTAACGCTAGCATAGTGACTTCCACAGTCTTGTGAAGTAGATACCCTATCAGGGCTAGCTAGACAGTTTTCAATTTTACTACCTGCTTAAAGTTTTTATTTTTAACTGCTACTTCAAGTTCTCTGCTGCTGCGTTCTTCGTGCAACCCACAGTCAGGTCCACGGTTACGTGCCACCCCACCCTTTTTTATGCTTTTTCAAACACAAGCGGCCAGTATCACATGTACTCTTCTCCCAGTCCCTGTCACCTCCAAGTCGTGAACAATGTCAGGCTGTGATCTGTCAGGTACCGACATCTAGTCTGTCATATTCTTCGCCCAAGAATTTATGACTCCATAATCTGACATAGTGACCAGACAAATCCTGTAGTCTGAACCAGGCAGAAATTGCCCATGAGTGTCTGTCTCAACCCTGTGATTGACTGGCAACTTGTCCAGGTGCACCCTGCCTCTCGACCAGTGTCGGCTGGGACTGGCTCCAAAATAAACTTACCAACTCTCTCTGCTGGAAAAACTGTAATGCTATCAGTTTCCAAGTTACCACATAGAAATGTTTGTCACTTCTGCACTGTGTGTCTACGTTAGTTAATTAAACCTCAGGTCTCTGATTTGTTTGCCCACTTGGGTGCACTGCAACAACCTGTCATCTGTGACACCTGTTAGAGTTGTAGTGTGTATTATGTTAACAGCAGTTGCCGCGTTACATATTCAACACTGGCTTTCATTTAGTGTTGTTTGTTTATATGTGACGAGTCACATATTCACTCTGTTTTAGCTCTGTTTTTGGTCTCAACCAGCTCCTGAGCTGCTAAATGCTTCACCAGCTAGTCCCTATCTGTGTCTGTCTGCTGCCGAGTAGGTAGTGGACAGTGGGTTTATCTTGGATTTGTCTATGAAAACAGCAGTTGCTTCTGGTGGATGGGAGAGCTCAAACTGAGCCAACAGCAAAGATATGGGTCATAAAACCAAAATGGCAAGCTGACAACTTTTATGGCTTTGTACATCCTAAATGACTTAGACCACTTAAACAAAGCTGATGTACCCGAGTATCCGTTTCCACCAGCAGGTCCAGCTGAGCCATGTCTCTCTTTAACTCCTCTAGTGGGCGAAACTTTGAAGCCACAGAGTCCTACAGACACACAGCAATGAGAAGACATGTACACACTCAGGTGGTAGTACAACTAGCTAAAACTAATCCAACAGTCCTGCAATAAATCCTGCTTCCTGAATGTGATAATATTCAGTTTACTGTGCATCTTCTGTGAATCTGTTTGCTTCCATAGTTCTACTGTCAGGAAGAACACAGATTTGTCAACCATTCAGTGATAAATTAATGTAAAAGGAGTAAAAATTGTGGTGGGGAGGACAAGTTAGAGAGAATTTTTTAGATACACTGAACAGCCTCCCCGCTCCAGGTGTGATATCACCACTATAGCTGCTGAATGTTTCTCTTCATAGAGACCAATGTATAGTGTTTCTGATTTTTAGCCATTTTAACAAAAAGGTTGAAACAATTTTAATCTGAAAAGCACAAATGAAATGCAAAAGTTTAAACTACAGTAGGTCAGCCTCATCATCAATGAGCCTTGGGCGCACATGACCCTGTTGCTGGCTCACTGCTTGTCCTTCCTTAGACACTGTTGGTAGGTACTAACCACTGCAGACCAACAACACCCACCAAGACCTGCAGTGTGGGAGATGCTCTGACCCAGTCATCTCACCATCACAGCGTGACCCTTGTCAAAGTCACTCAGATCCTTACACTACCCGTTTTTTCTGCTTCCAGCACATCAACTTCAAATACTGATGTTCACTTGCTGCCTAATATACACCACACACTGACAGGTCGAATTGTAATGACATAATACTCAGGGTTATTAACTTCTTAATGCTATGGCTGATCGATGTGCATTCAAACTGTTTCAGAGAGGTGTTGATTCTACTGGATGATCACTGTGAACACTAGTGGTTGTGACTGGGGTGCTGGCATACTGACAGGTGTTTCTATTATTTTTTCTACTCCATTTCCATCAATGAAGCTAGGCTAAATGTCAGAAACAGCTGTCTGTATAATGCAGTCTAGTCCAACAGCAGCATACAGCTGAATAAGCACCTCTCTGCAACAGTTTGAATACAAACCTACATGGAGGAGGGGTTGTTACAGGACTGTTGGATTATACTGGCTCAGTTTTATAAGAGCATGTGTGAGTAGATTCCAAAGTTGCATTTAAAACCCTTGACATCAGCCTTGTACTCATACCTGTTGATCCTTGCTCACTGGGTTCAGGTCTTCCTTTAGCTTCTTCATGGCCCGTTTCAGTTCGTCTGGACTGAACATGGACTGGGTTGCTTCTCTCTCCCTAGCAAGCAAAGACCTACTAATGATATCCATTTCCCCACCACCACCTTGTAGACTGTACTTTGACAATAGTGTGAGGAGCTCAAACACAAGAAGACTCAAGGCTGTGATCTGTGTCACTGTCACCCTACAGAGTATGAACTACTTTCCAAACTCACTACATCTGAAGAAATTCTTCTGGGCCCATACCTGTGTTCCTGTGTCCGGTATTTGAGCTGCTCTTCCCCCAGCCGGACCTCCCTCTGACCTGTCTGCAGATTGAGCCTCACATGGGAACCTGCTGGCACTGCTTGGCCTGAACACAAACACACAGGCAAATTTAAAACAGATTTACATTTTATTTGACTACAACCGAGTATCATACACCCTCCAGTGCATTACCTGGTTTGAGTGTTTGCCACTGCTCAGTAGCTTGGACCACCTCTAAATCTTCATCTTCCTCTATCTTCACCTGCTCTTCTTCATCACCATGTGTTACTTCCCCTTCCTCTGTAGTCTCCACCACAGTTAGGGCCGAGTCCGACTGCACAGGGACAGAAATAAATCACAAAAGGATTCAACTCCAACATATTGTGTCGCTATATTCCCATGGAAGGTTATGCAAGATGACCTGTTAGCTGCGCTACACATCCTGCTTTGGCACAACACAGGAGGTCTAGTATCGAGTAAGAGTATTAAGTAAGCATTAATTAAGAGGAGGGTTATTAACAATGACACACGCAAACGAAAAATGCTCACCTTCTGACCAAGAACATCGCCAAAGTGACGGCAATGCAGCAACAGGAGAAAGGCCAGGGCGACGCAGCTGGATGTCAGTCTCATGGCGACTGAAACGCAGGAAGGACACACTGCTACATCACTACTACTGTTGTGTCGTCGCACACACTGATAACACCTGGATACATATATATGTGGCTGACTCACTAGGACACACTCCATTCACAAATCTGGTGATTTATGTTTCCTTGTTCGTTATAAACAAAAGGTACACAAGGAGAAGGAAAAACATCTCCGTTGTGTCTTAGGGTACTTAGAGTAATCATTTGTTAGAAGACTGCCTAACACACTGCCTGCTCACTGGCATCATGACAACAGAACTCTAAATAAAATACATTAACAGCTTAGTATTACAAAATTATGACTACATTTTGCACCTGGTGCTACGAAACAGCCTGAAGTCAATGTCAGCGTAAGCTCACCTGCTACACTATCATTAAAGAGAGACTCAGACAGAAAAAAAAACACGCGTCTTTTGCGGCTTCTCGCGGTTTGTTCCACGTAAACACACTGATAGCTCCCGCAAACACCTGGAGTTTTCTGTCCCCGTGCGCTGCTCTCATTGGTCCGAGTACAACGGTCTTCTTCTGGTGTTACACTGGTTGTTAAGCAACGCATATTTCCCCCACTACTGCCCCCAGCTGGTATGGAATGAGAGCAGGCCAGTGCAGTAACAATATAACATTGTGTAGGCCAACTACTATTTCTATGCCCTACGTGGCCTATGGTGATATCACACTTTCCTCAAAGGGCATTTGTAATTTCTGTAACACACTACACTTGTCTTCAGTGCCATTAGGTAAATAACAGTCAAAGGTATGAGAAGTGTTTGAATCTAGAAACTTCCACATGAGGCAAGTGTCGTGACCTCTACATTTCAGGTGGTCATTTGAATTTAAAGTGAAACTTTTCTTCAAAACAGCTCAACTACCATTCTCACCTCTAAGGGACAGAATTAAAAACAGGTCAAGCTACATAACAATATAGGATGACTTACTGTCTCCCCATGAAGAAGAAACAAAACTACCTTGTAATTTTGCCTATGTCTATGCTTAAATACACACAGTTAAAAGCCCTGTGCACAGAATAACTGGTCTGCTTTCTCACACACACACACACACACACACACACACACACACACACCACATAGCAGCTTTTAAACACTGGGGCCATGGCCCTGCTTGAAATATCTTGATAGGCGCACAAGGTCATATGACTTGCATTTGGAGGCGCCACTATAAAAAAAAAATATTGTAGTTTGAAGCAGCTAAAATTACACATTATCATGTGAGGCATCACAAAATATTTTAGATAAAACTGTATACAAAAACAGATTCATATTCCTAAGACACTGGACACAGAATAGTGCAAGTATTTTATTACTGTAA